TCCTAACAAACCATACATCAATGGAAATGTATAAATCTCAATTTCAAAAAAATTGATCCGTATGACTGGTTTTGTGGTCCAGGGTCACATATCATTAATATTGTTCATTTTTTCCATTTTCAGTATTTTCCATTCAGTTGAGCTTCATGGCCCTGATCTTTTTCTTGTCTACAAGGTGAGAAACATATGTTCGCAAAAACACATTTGTGTGGGTCTTTCCTGGACGTCTCTTGGCATTATTCGGAATGATTGCGCTGTTTATTTCAGGTTTTACTTTAATTTTGTCCATGTTTGATCCTCACAATGTGGACGAAACCTGATCCGCTTACTCTTTGATTTGTGACACCACATAACGTGTGTTAATCTGTTTCTATGCATATGTGATGTTTGCAGGAATTCCTCTGGTTTCACTGCGGCCGATTCGGTAGCCATCATGTTTTGTGCGACTCATAAATCCCTCACTCTAGGTAAAGCACACACGTCTGTCTGAATAAGCAAATATGAACCGTTGCCTACCTTCTCTAGCTAAGAACTCTGGTTTGATGTGTTTGTGTAGGTATCCCCATGCTGAAGATCGTGTTTGAGGGTTATGAGCATCTGTCTCTGATATCAGTGCCTCTGTTGATCTATCATCCCGCTCAGATCCTGCTGGGAAGCATCTTACTGCCCTCCATTAAAACATGGATGAGCGGCAGACAGAAGGTAGTGCACGCACCGATTTGACCAAAACCTATGAAAGTGTATATAAAAATAATGGTGAGAAAATGTAAACAGCACATGCTGTGAAATATAAAGTTGGAATTATAGGAAATAAACTCACAATTGTGAGATGCAAAGTTGTTTTTGTAAAAAAAGCGAATTATTTTTTCAGCTTTAATTTGCTATATCTGAACTCAAGGCCTAAAGAAAAAATGATGCATTCATATACATACAAGAAAAAACTCAACGTTTCTCCATTAAATATATCCCTTACAGGAAATATTTTTCAGATTTAAATTCTAAGGACAATTTGTAGCACTTTAATTTTTCACTGAGCTCAGTTTGGGTCAGTGCATGTCATATAGTTTTCTTTTTCTGTAATTTAAATCACTAAAATGTTTTCGTCTGCCAAACCCCTTGGACCTGAAATAATTACTTGAAGTACACCTGAGATTTTAAATGAATATTTAACAACACATTTGCTTGTTCGCAATTCTCTAATGTTGATTAATAGTCACATAACATACAGGTAAACAAATAAAAAGTGTGAAAATGTGTGTACATGTATATATTTTCATATTTATATATGATTTATATTATATATACAAATAATATAAATCATATATATGATGTACAAGTTTCTTAAATATATAAATGTATGTGTGTGTAATATACAAAGTACACACACATTGTTAACAAACTTATTTTGGATGTGATTTCGATTTGACAGCATTAATATATATATATACAGTATATATATATATCAAGTTAATTTTATATAAAAACGTATTTTAATTTGACATTTAATAAATGAATTACAGTTTTTTAGAAATTAATTTTTATTCTAGATTTTGATTATTTAATTAAGGGAAATCCTCTATCCTATTTTTTATTTTTTAAAGTTGATTTGCCAAAAAATACACTAAGGCAGTGTGAATGCGGTTGAAAGCGTCATATTTAGAATCAGAAAATGGGCAGAAAAAAACAAAATACTCCATTTTAAACTGTGTAAATTTGAACTCACAACTCTAATGTTCATATCATATATTCTTTTCAAAATTTCTGCTGTACCATCTGTTTCACAAGATGTTGAAATGACAGGCGACAAGATGTTATTGTGCTACTGTATGTTGGGTCAAGTTCATTTGGGTCTGTTTTAACTCTTAAATTGACTTGCCTTCCAGACTCTAACGCCTGTATGAGCTACACTGTCGACTGGAAGCTGTGAAACACTTGGCTGAGCCAAACCAGGCCACAATCAACGAGACCAAAACCAGACCGAGACGCCGATCAGGCGGATGGATACGTGAGATCAAGTGCCTTAACACGACCCGCGGGACCTCAGACAGGGACTACAGACGATTCCATGAGCTTTTTTAAACAGACATGAATGTATATTTTTATTTTTATATGAAGTGTAAAATCTTTTCTTACTACAGCGGCACTCAGACTTTGCCAAATGGATTTATTTTTGTTTTTTAGACGTCCAGGAAGAACTCCACAGTCTCCTGTGTTCGTGTTGTTTCATTGGGCTTTGGGGATTTTTTACAGCAGTAAAAACTAAAGTGTAATTGCACTGCTAACATCCGTGACATTTACCTAACAATGAGAGAATCGACTCATTTTGATGCAGTATAAGGTCAGCTGTTGTGACGGCGACACCATCTGACATGTTATGTTACTGAAGACAATAAAGATTGTCAGAAATTCTGTCTAAATGAGGCTTTGTGTGCAAACTCTTTCTGATCATGTGTCTTGTCATGCAGAAAAATGACAAAACAATTATGTGACATTGACCACAAACACAAAAATAAATCTGTATTCATTAAATTAATTTTTATTCATTATTTTCATTTTTTCAAATCAAATACAGATTGAATATTTAGATAAACCCTGGTTTACCTTTCAACAGACGCTATTGTATTCAAACTTTTCTATTGTGTCATATCTTATTTGTGGTTTAAACTGAGCTTTCAAACTAGTATTCAGACTGAAAGATATCATCTGTAGTTATTAAACACAATATAAGGCAAAAGCACTTTCTGCTTTTTTGTCTTAAAATCTAAGGAGGTTTAATACAGTTTAGATTTACTTCCATACTGTTGTTTTTTTATTGCATGTGAAAGAATACACAAAGCGATTGAACAGTATGATGCTAAAGCTTAAAATGTGGTTTTACAAATTGTAGTATGAACTTTTCTATGTCTTTTTCCGGTTTGAGCTCATGCAGTGAGTCACATTAGACGGAAATGAGTCACTTCCTAGCGTTTGAGGTCAGTAAGAATTCATATAAGTCAGAATAAAAAGTCAGAATTGTGATTTTTTATCTTGCAATTGTGATTTTATACATGCAACTGCAACTTTATATCATGCAATTCTGAGAAAAAAAGTGACAATTACCTTTTTTATTTTTATTCAATGGCAGAAACGGCCTTCCATATTAAACTGATCAAAAGTAACAGTAAATACAATTCTATTGTTAAAGATTTCTATTTCAACTGAGATCAAATGTTTGTCAAGACAAACTTTACGTTGGCTTAAGAAAGTCTAGTCTAAAGTTTGAAGTAGTTTTAAAAGCTCAGTGTTTGGAGGTTTTAAGGTCATAAAGTCTGTCAGACAGACGGATAGATTACTATGTGGCTTCTAGGGTATTCTAGATGATTGCTAGGGTGTTGCTATGTGGTTGTAGGGTATTCTGGGTGGTTGTTAGGGCTTTGCTATATGGTTGCTAGGGTGTTGCCAGGGCATTGCTATGCAGTTGCCAAGATGTTGTGGGTGGTTTGCTGGGCGTTGCTATTGTGGAGGGTATTGTGAATGGCTGGTATGCCATTTATATATCAATTTAAGCCAGATGCTAGGGTGTTCTGGGTGGTTGCTAGGGCGTGGCGATGTGGCAGTTGCTAGTGTGCTTTTTTGGTGGTTTTGTTGCTATGTGGCTGCTAGGCAGTTGGTAGGGTGTTGTGGATGGTTGCTGTGGTGTTGCTATGTGATTGCAAGCCAGTTGCTAGGATGGTCTTGGTGGTTGCTAGGGTATTGTCAGGCAGTTGATAGGGTGTTG